AGGAGGAGGAGGAGGAGGAGAGGAGGAGGAGGAGGAGGAGGAGGGGAGGAGGAGGAGGAGGAGGAGGAGGAGAGAGGAGGAGGAGGAGGAGGAGGAGGAGGAGGAGGAGGAGGAGGAGGAGGAGGAGGCGGAGGAAGGAAGGAAGAGGAGGAAACAGAAGGAGGAAACAGAAGGAGGAAACAGAAGGAGGAAACAGAAGGAGGAAACAGAAGGAGGAAACAGAAGAAGGAGGAGGAGGAGGAAACAGAAGAAGGAGGAGGAGGAGGAAACAGAAGAAGGAGGAGGAGGAGGAAACAGAAGAAGGAGGAGGGGGAGGAAACAGAAGAAGAGAAGAAAGAAGAACAGAGAAGAAGGAGAAGAAAGAAGAAGAGAAGAAGGAAGAGAGGAGAAGAAAGAGAAGAAGAAGAGGGGAGGAAAAAGAAGAAGGAGGAAGGGGAGGAAAAGAAGAAGAAGAAGAAAGAGAAGAAGAAAACAGAAGAAGAAGAAAGAAGAAGAAAGAGAAAAGGAGGAGGGGAGGAAAGAAGAAGAAGAAGGAAGGGGAGGAAAGAGAAGAAGGAAGAGAAGAAGAAGACAGAAAGAAGAAGAGGAAGAAGAAAAGAAAGAAGGAGGAGAGGGAGAGGAAAGAGAAGAAGGAAGAGGGGAGAAGAAGAAGAAGAAGAAGAAGAAGGAAAAAAGAAGAAGGAGGAGGGGGAAGAAGAAGAAGAAGAGAGAAGAAAGAAAGGAAGAGAGAAGAAGGAGAAGAAGAGGAAGAGAAGAAGGAGAGAAGAAGGAAGAGAGAAGAAGAAGGAGAAAGGAAAGAAAAAGAAGAAAGAAGAAGAAAAGAAAAAGAAGAAGAGGAGAGAAGAAGAAAGAAAGGGAGGAAGAAGAAAGAAAGAAAAGAAGAAGAAAAGAAGGGAAAAGAAGAAAAGGAGGGGGGAAGGAAAGAGAAGAAGAAGAAGGGAAGAAGAAGAAAACAGAAGAAGGAAGAGGGGAGAAGGAAAAGAAAGAAGAGAAAGAAGGAAGAAAGGAAGAAGGAAGAAGAAGGAAAGAAGGAAGAAGAAAGAAGGAAGAAAAGAAGAAGAAAAGGGGAAGAAAGAAGAAAGAAGAAGAAAGGAAGGAAGGAGAAGGAAAAGAAGAAGAAGAAGAAGAGGAGAAAAGAAGAAGGAAGAAGAAGAGAGGGAAAAGAAAAAGAAAGAAGAAGGAAGAAAGGAGAAAAAGAAGAAGAAGGAAGAAGAAAGAAGAAGGAGAAGAAGAAGAAAGAAGGAAGAAGAAGAAAGAGAAAGAAGAAGAAGAAGGAAGAAGAAAAGAAGAAGAAGAAGAAGAGGGAAGAAGAGGAAAAAGAAGAAGAAAGAAGAAGGAGAAAGAAGAAGAGGAAGAGGAGAAGAAGAAAGAAGAAGAAGAAGAAAGAAAGAAGAAAGAGAGAAGAAGGAGAAGGAGGAAGGAAGAAGAAAGAGAAAGAAGAGAGGAAGAAGAAGAAGAAGAAGGAAGAAGAAGGAAGAAGAAAGAAGGAAGAAGGAGAGAAGAAGAAGGAGAGAAAGAAAGAGAAAAGAAAAAAAAAGGAGAAGAAGAAGAAGAAGAAGAAGAAGGAAGAAGAAGAAGAAAAAAAGAAAAAAAGAAGAAAGAAAGAAAAAGAAGAAAGGAGGAGAAGAAGGAAGAGAGAAGAAGGAAGGAAAAGGAAGAAGAAGAAGAAGGAAGAGGAAAAGAAGAAGGAAAAGAGAAGAGGAAGGAAGAAAGAGAGAGAAAAGAAGGAGGAAGAAGGAAAGAAGAAGAAAAAGAAAAGAAGAAGAGGAGAAGAAGAAGAAAGGAGAAAGAAAGAGGAGGAGAGGAGAAGGAAGAAGAAAAGGAAGAAGAAGGAGGAGGAGGAAGAAAAGAAGAAGAAGAAGGGAGGAAGAGGAAGAAACAGAAGAAGAAGGAAGAAGAGGAAGAAGAGAGAGAAGAAGGAGGAGGAAGAAGAAGAAAAGCAGAAGAAGAAGGGAAGAAGAAGAGAAGAAGAGAAGAAGAAGGAGAAGGAGGAAGAAAAAAGAAGAAGGAAGGAGGAGAAGAAGGAAGAGAAGAAGGAGGGGAGAAGAAGAAGAAGAAGAAAGAAGGAAGAAAGAAGAAGAGAGAAAAGAAAGAAAGAAAGAAGAAGAAGAAGAAGAAAGAAGAAGGAAGAGAAAGAAGAGAAGGAAGAGAGAAGAAAGAGAAGAAGAAGAAGAAGAAAGAGAAAAAAGAAAGAGAAGAAGAAGAAGAAGGAAGAAAAGGAAGAAGAGGAAAGAAGAAGGAGAGAGAAGAAGAAGAAGGAAGAGGAGAAGAAAGGAAAAGAAAGGGAAAGAAGAAAGAAAGAAGAAGGAAGAAGAGGAGAAGAAAAGAAAGAAAGGGGAAGAAGAAAGAAAAAAGAAGAAGGGGGAGAAGGAGGAAGAAACAGAAGAAGGGGGAGAAGGAGGAAGAAACAGAAGAAGAAGAAGAAGAAGAAGAAGAAAGAAGAAGGAAGAAGAAGGAAAAGAAGAAGGGAGAAAGGAGAAGAAGAAGAAGAAGAAAGAAGAAGAGAAAGAAGAGAAGAAGAAGAAAGAAGAAGAGAAGAAGAAGAAGAAGAAGAAGGAAGAGAAGGAAGAAGGGAAGAAGAAGAAGGAAGAAGAAAAAGAAGAAGAAAGAAGGAAGAAGGAAGAAAAAAGGAAGGAAGAAGGAAGAAGAAGAAGAGGGAAGAAGGAGAAAAGAGAAGAAGAAGAAAAGAAGAAGAGAAGAAGAGGAAAAAGAAGGAAGAAGAAGAAGAAGAAGAAGGAAGAAGAAGAAGAAGGAGAAGAAAGAAAAGAAAGGAAGAAGAAGAAGAAAAAGAAAGAAGAAGAGAGAAAGAGAAGAGAAGAAGAAGAAGAAGAAGAAGAGAAGAAGAAAGAAGAAGAAGGAGGAAGAAGGGAAAAGAAAAGAAGAAGAAGAAGAAGAAGAAGAAGAAGGAAAGAAGAAGGAAGAAGGAGAAGAAGAAGAAGAAAGAAGAAGAAGAAGAGAAGAAGAAGAGGAAAGAAGAAGAAGAGAAGAAAAAGAAGAAGGAAGAAGAAGAAGAAAGAAGAGAAGAAGAAGAAGAAGAGAGAAGAAGAAGAAAGAAGAAGAAGAAGGAAGAAGAAGAAGAAAGAAGAAGAAGAAAAGAAAGAAGAAGAAGAGAAGAAGAAAAAAGAAGAAGAAGAAGAAGGAAGAAGAAGAAGAAGAAGAAGAGAGAGAAGAAAGAAGAAGAAGAAGAGAAGAAGAAGAAGAAGAAAGAGAAGAAGAAGAAGAAGAGAAAAGAAGAAAAAGAAGGGAAAGAAGAAGAAGAAGAAGAAGAAGAAGAAGAAGAAAGAAGAGAAAAGAAGAAGAAGAAGAAGAAAGAAGAAGAAAAAGAAGAAGAAGAAGGGAAGAAGAAGAAGAAAAGAAGAAGAAGAAGAGAAGAAAAGAAGAAGAAAGAAGAAGAAGAAGAAGAGAAGAAGAAGAAGAAGAAGAGGAAGAAGAAGAAGAAGAAGAAGAAGAAGAAAGAAGAGAAGAAAGAAAGAAGAAGAAGAAGAAGAGAGAAAGAAGAAGAAGAAGAAGAAGAAGAAGAAGAAGAGAGAGAAGGGAAAAGAAGAAGAAGAAGAAAGAAGAAGAAGAAGGAGAAGAAGGAAGAAGAAAGAAGAAGAAGAAGAAGAAGGAAGAAGAAGAAGAAGAAGAAGAAGAAGAAAGAAGAAGAAGGAAAGAAGAAGAAGGAAGAAGAAGAAGAAGAAGGAGAGAAGAAGGGAGAAAGAAGAAGAAGAAGAAGAAGAAGGGAGAAGAAGAGAAGAAGAAGAAGAAGAAGAAGAAGAGAGAAGAAGGAGAAAGAAGGAAGAGAAGGAAGAAGAAGAAGAAGGAAGAAGAAGAGAAGAAGGAGAAGAAGGGAAAAGAAGAAGAAGAAGAAAGAAGGGAAGAAGAAGAAGAGAGAAGAAAGAAGGGAGAAGGAGGAGAAGGAAGAAGAAGAAGAAGAAGAAGAAGGAAGAAGAAGAAGAAGAAGAAGAAGAAGAAGAAGAAGAAGAAGAAGAAGAAGAAGAAGGGAGAAAGAAGAAGAAGAAGAAGAAGAAGAAGAAAGAAGAAGAAGAAGAAGAAGAAGAAGAAGAAGAAGAAGAAGAAGGGAGGAAGAAGAAGGAGAAGAAGAAGAAGAAGAAGAAGAAGAAGAAAGAAGAAGAAAGAAGGAAGAAGAAGAAGAAGAAGAAGAAGAAGAAGAAGAAGAAAAGAAGAAGAAGAAGAAGAAGGAGAAGAAGAAGAAGAAGAAGAAGGAGAAAGATCCTGGAGTAATTAAACTGTGAATAGACAACAGATAGATCAACGGTACGCGATATTTTTATTATGAATTTTTTTCTTTTTAAATTACTGCCAATACTGCCTGTATTGACCACTGGGGGTGGCGGGGAGAGGGGCGTCTTTGAGCCTGAGGGTTAAGAGTCGCATGGATAGTGCTGTCGCCACGGACTGTGCAGATTAGAATGTTATCTTTTGCTCTCGACAGAAAAAAAAATCCACAACCTATCCTAGGATTCGAACATAGGTGTCCCGTTTGAGAGGCTAGCTTTCGGCCCTACTGCCAGCGTATAATTTTATCGTTCTCAACATGTTGCCTGCCGCCTTGTGCAGCTGCATATGTTGCACTGTCTAAATAGGGTCCAGTGTTGCGTTTGTGTGTGTGTATTATTATCATTAAGTTAGTTGCGTATCCTTTACATGACGTTGCAGAACCAACCCCAGCATTTTTTTTTTTTTTTTTTTTTTTTTGGCTAGTATGGTTTTTCTAGACAAATTTTACGTTCAGTAGTTTGTCATTGCTTACTGAACGGTCAACTCTCGGACACCACCGTCGAAACCAACGCATGACAAAACCCTTCTGCAGCTGGGATCGAACCCGGCACCTTGGTGTATGTGTATTAGTGTAATAATATTTTACTGAACGGTCAACTCTCGGACACCACCGTCGAAACCAACGCATGACAAAACCCTTCTGCAGCTGGGATCGAACCCGGCACCTTGGTGTATGTGTATTAGTGTAATAATATTCCTGAAATCCCCTACACCTTCAGGTCTATCGTCGGCCGGGGCGAGTTTCCGAAGTCAGCAGGAAGAGCAAGATGCAGCCCTGGAGTGGAGTGGTGAACATTGTTCTTGTGGAAGGTTCAAATCTAGTCTCCATGGATGACAATGGATTCAGTGATCCTTACGTGAAGTTTCGGCTGGGAATGGAGAAGTACCGGAGTAAGGTAAGTGAAAGGTCTGGGTTTGAACCTACTGTGGTATTCAGTTTCTTGGCATATTGTTCTCTACCTTTTCACTATTTGTGTTGTTCTGAGTCTCGTTGTTCTTTATAACCCATCAGCATCTTTCACCATCTGACAGATCATGGTCGCCAGAACTTGAGCGCTCATGCGTCCTGCTGTCCCCCGTTCGCTTTTATGAATATGTTAATACATTTCATATTACTTCATATATATTCTAATATGTATTTGCCACTTGGCACATAATAATAATTACTATTATTATCACGCACTTAAGCAAGGCTCAATCTCTATGACCACCCACAAGAAAATGGAGGCTAGCGCCTGGAGGGCCCGTCCATAATTTATTTGTGCCGGCGCCCTGCCTTGGATGTATATATAACAATCCGCAATCAACTTAGGTTATAATAAATAACAAATGTCTGGAACTGAAAGCGTTCTTGCCAAAATATGACTATGTGACAGTAATGATTTGAGCACCCTCTCGGTTAGGCCTTGCACCGTCGTAGCTCAGTTCCGTGTGACTAGGTATTCGCTAGACAGCCGTGATCCGTATAGATAGCCAGGCGGACGATTTAAAACCCACGAATCGATCTTAACTCTTGTCGCTTCTCGCAGACAGTTTTATATAAACAGACCTAGATCGTTTCGCGTGTGAGGAGAAAATACTCAGAATCTGTTGAGATTAGTTCACAAATCCCACAGCGGTTAGTGCGGGTTCTTGTAGAATGTATAAGAATCGATTTCTTCTAGTTAATAGATGAGATTTCTTTCAGGTTCGTTTGGTGTACGGCCTGTTTGTTATACAGAACAGTGGTTTGTTGAAAAGGTGATTGCTCTATCCTTTACAACAGTGTTCTTCAACCTGTAGTCCGCGGCAACGTCAAAGTGGACAGCCAGCAAATTGTGTTAAATCGTGTAACGAGGTAGGGTCGCGGGCTGTTCTGTTCCAGTCTGTATGAGTAACACCTCAAGGACTTCTTATCTGTGTGAAAAGACTTTCTCGGGAATATCAATAATAAAAAACCAAACAGAGAAAATTGGGTGGATGTTAAGGTAACGCGCAGTCTATCAGAAACAACGCTCCAGCCACAAATATTATGATAATTTTTAAAGCTCTAAGCAAAAACAGAAGATCACCCATCATTTAAAATTTTAACTATTATTTCGCCCTAATATGGGAGGCATTTTTGTTTTGATTATTTTAAAGGCCCACCTAGCTGTTGCCAGGGGCCCTAAGTATAGCCTAACGGTTTGGCGAGTTTCCGGGACTTGCGCCCGTGTGATTCTCATCGGAATGATGGCGCTTTGTGTCACAGTTTGTTTATCGATCTTTGTGCTCTCAGTCAATGTCAGTCAGTCAAACTAATTTTATGACACTGGATTGAACAAATAAACTGATACCTATATTTCTTTTTATTTCGTGTTTGGCTAGTTGTCAGGTGTGCCTCGAAACATCTTGTGTTGGTGGTTGGCGGGCAAAGCGGTCTGCTGCCAGTGACTTCAAACCCTGGTATTTTTAAAATTTCGGACCTGCATTACGAACCTGATCCACAGACACTGACAGTGGGATGTGCACCATGTTGTAAAGTAAATAATATTAATAACAATAAAGGTTTGTTTGTGAAAGATTAGAAAGAAATAGTCTGACTGTTTAAATTAACTTCAGAAATTTAAAGCAGTTATCCAAGTTCTATCCAGATAACGTGTAACTTTACTTTCCAGAGGAAGAATTAGATCCACACACAATAAATGAGCTACTATTTTCAGACGATCAGTGCCTGTTCTACAATGAGGGGAGTAGACTGCAAGAACATTTGAACAGGCTAAGTTCAACTCGCAGTAGCTGTAACATTACAATAAATACTACTAAAACTGAAGCAATGCAGGTCAGCAGAATTCCTAGTCCGCTACATATCGGGTTGAATGGTGCTTGTCTGAAGCATGTTAAAGAATTTAAATATCTAGGAAGTATATTCTCGGAGAATGAGAGAATAGATCGGGAAATAGAAACAAGGTGCCAACGGGTCAGTGCACTTATATACCAATTGACACCATTATTAAGACACCTAAACATAGGAATGAGCGCCAACAAACGGATTATAACAGCATATTCATTTCGATACTCTGCTACCAGTGCCAGACTTGGACATTATCAAAGGTTAACCTACGTAAAATGAACACCTGTGAAATAAGAGGCATGAGAAAAGCCGCCATCTGAACCATCTGAGACAATGTTAGAAATGATACATTCAGATAGACTGTAGGAACAACTCCATGAGACAATGTTAGAAATGATACATTCAGATAGACTGTAGGAACAACTCCATGAGACAATGTTAGAAATGATACATTCAGATAGACTGTAGGAACAACTCCATGAGACAATGTTAGAAATGATACATTCAGATAGACTGTAGGAACAACTCCATGAGACAATGTTAGAAATGATACATTCAGATAGACTGTAGGAACAACTCCATGAGACAGTGTTAGAAATGATACATTCAGATAGACTGTAGGAACAACTCCATGAGGCAAATTCGTTGTGAAACATAAGTTCAGCTGGTTTGGTTATCTAGTACAAATGCAGCCAATACAACTGCCAGTGCAGGCGATAATCATAAAAAGATCTGGAGTGAAATCACGAGGCCGCTCTAGGAGAATATGGATTGATGATATTAAAGAGCTTTATACTGACGCGGAATAGCCACTGGATCGCAAACTGTTCTTCTTCACAACCCTTAACCACAGAAGAGGGGGAGGAGGTGGACCTGCAGAGTTAAGTCAAGAATTGACATCACGGCACTCAGGGCATTCCCATGCGCGCTCCGTTCTCATCTTCAGCAGCCAGCGCAGAGTTCCAATACTAGTGGTACCGGTTGTAATCTGGTTATATGTCCTTATTGCCTTTCCTCTGAGTATATGAGCCAACCAGACCCTCTATTTACACCCAGGTGCCTCATTCTCTCCGGGCCATAACAATCTGGTTTCTCTTCTGACTTCGTCATATGTTCCCAAAGGGCCAAAAATATATGTACACAAAGGAGTCGAATGGCCGTCGACCACGAGGCAGATCTAGAAGACAGTTAAGAGATTATATCCAAACCAAGCCTACAAACGCTTAAAGTCACCAACTGGACAGAGAAGGCCAGTCGCAGAGATCAATGGTGGAGGGTGATCTCTTCTGCATGGACCTCAATGGTCTGGTAGGCTGAAAGAAGAAGAAGAAGAAGAAGAAGAAGAAGAAGAAGAAGAAGAAGAAGAAGAAGAAGAAGAAGAAGAAGAAGAAGAAGAAGAAGAAGAAGAAGAAGAAGAAGAAGAAGAAGAAAAAGAAGAAGTAGAAGAAGAAGAAGAAGAAGAAGAAGAAGCAGAAGAAGAAGAAGAAGAAGCAGAAGAAGATAGCAGGAAGAAAGAACGCAAAAATGGGAAGGAAGGAAGGAAGGAAGGAAGGAAGGAAGGAAGAAGGAAGGAAGGAAGGAAGGAAGGAAGGAAGGAAGGAAGGAAGGAAGGAAGGAAGAGGAAAGAAAGAAAGAAAGAAAGAAAGGAAGGAAGGAAGGAAGGAAGGAAGGAAGGAAGGAAGGAAGGAAGGAAGGAAGGAAGGAAGGAAGAAGGAAGGAAGGAAGGAAGGAAGGAAGGAAGGAAGGAAGGAAGGAAGGAAGGAAGGAAAGGAAGGAAGGAAGGAAGGAAGGGAAGAAAGAAGAACGAAAGAAAGAAAGAAAGAAGAAGAAAAAGAAAGAAAGAAAGAAAGAAAGAAAGAAAGAAAGAGAGAAAGAAGAAAAAAGAAGAAAGAAGGAAAGAAAGAAGAAGGAAGAAGAAAAGAAGGAAAGAAGGAAAGAAGGAAAGAAGGAAAGAAGAAAAGAAGGAAAGAAGGAAAAGAAGAAGAAGGAAGAAGAAAGAAACGAAGAAACGAAACGAAGAAACGAAGGAACGAAGAAAAGAAAGAAACGAAGAAACGAAGAAACGAAGAAACGAAGAAACGAAGAAACGAAGAAACGAAGAAACGAAGAAACGAAGAAACGAAAAGAAACGAAGAAAAAACGAAGAAACGAAGAAGACGAAGAAACGAAGAAACGAGGAAACGAAGAAACGAAGAAACGAAAAGAAACGAAGAAACGAAGAAACGAAGACCGAAGAAACGAACGAAGAAGAAACGAAGAACGAAGAAAACGAAACGAAGAAACGAAGAAACGAAGAAGAAACGAAGAAACGAGAAACGAAGAAACGAAGAAACGAAGAAACGAAGAAGACGAAGAAACGAAGAAAGACGAAGAAGAAACGAAGAAACGAAGAAAACGAAGAAACGAAAGAAACGAAGAAACGAAGAAACGAAGAAACGAAGAAACGAAGAAGAAGAAAAGAGAAAAACGAAGAAAACGAAGAAACGAAGAAACGAGAAACGAAGAACGAAGAAACGAAGAAAGAAGAAACGAAGAAACGAAGAAACGAAGAAACGAAGAAACGAAGAAACGAAGAAACGAAGAAACGAAGAAACGAAGAAACGAAGAAACGAAGAAACGAAGAAACGAAGAAACGAAGAAACGAAGAAACGAAGAAACGAAGAAACGAAGAAACGAAGAAACGAAAGAAGAAACGAAGAAACGAAGAACGAAAGAAAGAAAACGAAGAAACGAAGAAACGAAGAAACGAAGAAACGAAGAAACGAAGAAACGAAGAAACGAAGAAACGAAAGAAAGAAGAAACGAAAGAAGAAACGAAAGAAACGAAAGAAACGAAAGAAACGAAAGAAACGAAAGAAACGAAAGAAACGGAAGAAACGGAAGAAACGGAAGAAACGGAAGAAACGGAAGAAACGGAAGAAACGGAAGAAACGGAAGAAACGGAAGAAACGGAAGAAAGAAGGAACGAAAGAAAGAAGGAACGAAAGAAAGAAGGAACGAAAGAAAGAAGGAACGAAAGAAAGAAGGAACGAAAGAAAGAAGGAACGAAGAAAGAAGGAACGAAAGAAAGAAGGAACGAAAGAAAGAAGGAACGAAAGAAAGAAGGAACGAAAGAAAGAAGGAACGAAAGAAAGAAGGAACGAAAGAAAGAAGGAACGAAAGAAAGAAGGGAACGAAATAAAGAAGGGAACGAAAGAAAGAAGTAACGAAATCAAAAGAAGAACGAAAAGAAAGAACGAACGAAAGAAAGAACGAACGAAAGAAAGAAAGAACGAAAGAAAGAACGAACGAAAGAAAGAACGAACGAAAGAAGGAACGAACGAAAGAAAGAACGAACGAAAGAAAGAACGAACGAAAGAAAGAACGAACGAAAGAAAGAAAGAACGAAAGAAAGAAAAAACGAAAGAAAGAAAGAACGAAAGAAAGAAAGAACGAAAGAAAGAAAGAACGAAAGAAAGAAAGAACGAAAGAAAGAAGGAACGAAAGAAAGAAGGAACGAAAGAAAGAAGGAACGAAAGAAAGAAGGAACGAAAGAAAGAAGGAACGAAAGAAAGAAGGAACGAAAGAAAGAAGGAACGAAAGAAAGAAGGAACGAAAGAAAGAAGGAACGAAAGAAAGAAGGAACGAAAGAAAGAAGGAACGAAAGAAAGAAGGGAACGAAAGAAAGAAGGAACGAAAGAAAGAAGGAACGAAAGAAAGAAGGAACGAAAGAAAGAAGGAACGAAAGAAAGAAGGAACGAAAGAAAGAAGGAACGAAAAGAAAGAAGGAACGAAAAGAAAGAAGGAACGAAAAAGAAGGAACGAAAAGAAAGAAGGAACGAAAGAAAGAAGGAACGAAAGAAAAGAAGGAACGAAAGAAAGAAGGAACGAAAGAAAAGAAGGAACGAAAGAAAGAAGGAACGAAAGAAAGAAGGAACGAAAGAAAGAAGGAACGAAAGAAAGAAGGAACGAAAGAAAGAAGGAACGAAGAAAGAAGGAACGAAAGAAAAGAAGGAACTAAAGAAAGAAGGAAAAAGAAGAACGAACGAAGAAAGAAGGAACGAAAGAAAAGAAAGAAGGAAACGAAAGAAAAGAAGGAACGAAAAGAAAGAAGGAACGAAAGAAAGAAGAAACGAAAGAAAGAAGGAACGAAAGAAAGAAGAAGAAAGAACGAAACGAAAGAAGGAAGAACGAAGAAAGAAGGAACGAAAGAAAGAAGGAACGAAAGAAAGAAGGAACGAAAGAGAAGGAACGAAAGAAAGAAGGAAAACGAAAGAAAGAAGGAACGAAAGAAAGAAGGAACGAAAGAAAGAGGAACGAAAGAAAGAAGGAAACGAAAGAAAGAAGGAACGAAAGAAAGAAGGAACGAAAGAAAGAAGGAACGAAAGAAAGAAGGAACGAAAGAAAGAAGAACGAAGAAAAGAAGGAACGAAAGAAAGAAGGAACGAAAGAAAGAAGGAACGAAAGAAAGAAGGAACGAAAGAAAGAAGGAACGAAAGAAAGAAGGAACGAAAGAAAGAAGGAACGAAAGAAAGAAGGAACGAAAGAAAGAAGGAACGAAAGAAAGAAGGAACGAAAGAAAGAAAGAGAGAAGGGAAAAAAGAAAGAACGAAAGAAAGAACTGCATTGCTTTTATTTTAATTGAGCAAACAATATGTAGTCATCTTCTCTTGGGTAGTTTAAACAAAAAGCGTGTAGTTGAAATCGTAAAAAAGGGCCAATTCCTTTCAACTGAATACAGAATGTCCACGCGGCTGGTTACTCGAGATCTTGCTGGGTGTACAGAAATCGATATCTTTTGGCTGAATAATAGATTATATTACTTTCAGGTTCACTGGCTGTATATGATTTGAATGTTGTCCATCGTCTCCACTTTCAGCAAACCGGTACGAGGCTGGTTTGTTCAATTGATATTGCTGCAGAATTATGGGGGAAATTACATGAAACGCAGGATTCTATCGGCGATTTTACAAACCTTTATTAAGACATCCAACCATAAGTATGAGCGCCAACAAACAGGTTATAAACAGCATATGCATACCAACACTGTTCTACCAGTGCCGGACATTTAAGTTATCAAAGGCTAACTAACCTACGTACAATTGACACCTGTGAAATAAGATGCCTGATAAAAGCCGCCATCTTAACCATCCGAGACAAAGTTAGAAATGATATTGTCAGACAGACTGTGGGAACAATACCATGCAGCAAATTCACTGAGAAACAGAAGATTAGGGGATTTGGTCATCTAGTAAGAATGCAGCCAGTAAACCTACCAAAGCAGGCTCTACAATGAAAAGATCTGAAGTGAAATCAAGAGGCCGCCCTGTGAGAATAAGGACGAATGACATTAAAGAGCTTTTACATCCACACGGAACGACAACGTCCACTGCTGCCCGTCAAACAACTGATCGCATACTTTTCTTTCGCACAATTCTGGTTGAGTTGAGTCAAATATTGACATCGCAGCACTCGGGGCATTCCCATGCGTGCTCTGTCCTCATCTTAAGCAGCCAGATCAGAGTTCCAATACTGATGGTACCGGTCACAATATGTTTATATGTTCGTCTTGCCTTTCCTCTGAGTATCGCTTAACGATAAAAATGGAAATTGGTTATTATGACGATGGCATCGTTCTCTACCTTTCTGTATAGTAAAAATCTCGTTTGCAGTGTTCCCTCAATCTTTTTACACCTGAGGCTCACCAAAACAATGGCAATTGTCTTCCGACCCATCCAATAACTAACCGTACACGAAACAAAACAAAAATTTAGATGACAGTTTTGTTTGTTGAATCCGATGGCAAAAAAATGTCACTGTTCAACTAATGGAAAACCTGCTGTTGCTTAGAGATTCAAAATCTGACATCTGACAACGCTAGGGCGATCTTTCCGAAATCTGTACGATTTTTTAAACTGGCATTCCTGAGAAAGTCTATCACACAAATAGGAAGTCCTTGATGTGTTCATGATACAGACTGTGGGAGGAAAAACTAACCTACCCTGCCTCATTACATAAAAATACAAACTTTTTTGGCTGCAAACAGGGATTTTTCCGCGGACTATCAGTGGGCCGTGAACCAGAGTTTGAAAAACACTGATTTAAACTGAGGAAATTCCAAGGAAGCGACGTTTCTTGCGTCTTGAACGCTTTAGTACATTGGACCTAAAGTCTAAACTCTAGTCGCCATGAGGTCCTCCTTTACCCGCCTGTGAGGATTCAAAACTAACTGGCTATCCTTGTTAAAGTTTTTCGGTAAGCTGACCTGAGTTCTACAGGCGGTTTTCGAATTCAATCTATCCTTCACTGGCGGTGGCACTTGTGTTCAAGCGGGATGTCGCTGGCGTGCGTTCCGTGCAGGGCGAATATGTTTACGGGTTTTAACTTCTGTGTGTCCCTAGAGGGTTGGTGGTCGCTGCGAGTCCATTAACAGCTAAGCTACCATTTATGCGTCTTTCTCTTATCCGACTTCAGCGAATGATGTTTTGGGGAGGCGGGAGCAGGGGAAAGGCGGGGGATTGATTAGGCCTTTTTTTTCATGATCTCGGTAAGACTTTGCGGCATTCCGATTCTTTTGACAAGACTGTATTGCGATTCCTGTTCTCACGACAAGACTGTATGACGATTCCTGTTCTCACGACAAGACTGTATGACGATTCCTGTTCTCACGGCAAGACTGTATTGCGATTCCTGTTCTCACGGCAAGACTGTATTGCGATTCCTGTTCTCACGACAAGACTGTATTGCGATTCCTGTTCTCACGACAAGACTGTATTGCGATTCCTGTTCTCACGGCAAGACTGTATTGCGATTCCTGTTCTCACGGCAAGACTGTATGACGATTCCTGTTCTCACGGCAAGAATGTATGACGATTTCTATTCTCATAGCAAGACTGTAGGCCTATGACGATTCCTGTTCTTTCGGAAAGACTATGACGATTCCTGTTCTCATGGCAAGACTGTATGACGATTCCTGTTCTTTCGGCAAGACTATGACGATTCCTGTTCTCACGGCAAGACTGTATGACGATTCCTGTTCTTTCGGCATGACTGTGTAACGATTCTTGTTCTCATGGCAAGACTGTATGACGATTCCTGTTCTCACAGCAAGACTGTATGGCGAATTATGTTCTCTCAGCAAGACTATATGGCGATTCCTGTTCTTTCTTGAAAACGAAAAGAACACACACAAAATAATTAGAAATGGGTATTAACTAAATGGAATGAACACGGGGGGAATTGTATAGGGTACACTGACTATTGAATTATTTGGCATGACATTTGTTAAGAGCCTATATTCATATATTCCGTTGAATGGTCAGAAGAAGAAAAAAAGGGGGCGGGTTGTTGGTGGGGGGGGGGGGTGAGAGAACTAAAGAAGACTGGCTCTTAATTTATATTTAGGAGGGGGGAAATCGTCACTTGCATCGTGACCTACTTGCCAGATTTTATTTTTCTGTTATTTCAGGTTAAAACTAAAACACTGAGCCCATCTTGGCTAGAGCAGTTTGATCTACGCCTTTATGAGGATCAGACTTCGCTGCTAGAGATCACAGTCTTTGATCATGACACGAGAGGAAAGGATGATTTCATGGGCAGGTGATAATCTTTTTCTTCTTTCGTTCCCTTGAAAGAGATTGTCTATATCTGTAATGTTGTCTCTAGTATAAACTTCACTGTCTTTTTAATTCACTCGGCGATCCGTAAAGTTTGACTTGCACCAATGTTTCTCTTGGCCAAAGTTCTGCCTTAACTCTTTGAGTCCTAGGGGGTTTAGCATCACAGGCCCAGGGGGTAGTAAAGAAAGTAGTAAAATCCGCGCATCATGCGTTCATTGGGCTTCTAGGTAGGAACCTATGAACGTATGATTCGTTCCTTGGGACTCAAAGAGTTAATACGTTGTATTTGGGACAGTGATAATGAAGTTTGTGTTTCTCTTTTAGACATTGTTTTTATAGTTTCTCACACCTTCATTGAGCTATTTACCTGCGCTCGTCCCCTTTTCACCCCACCCTCTAACTATTTATCTGATTTGTTTGGTATGTCCCTTCCATGACTGCAGTCCTCAGGATGAACACCCCAGGGATAAGAAGCATACATCTTTTCTTCCAAGTTACGCCATTTTGTAAAAACCTTCTGGGTAGTTATGTCTTTGAATTTCTTTTCGTGTTCAAGGATCTTAGATTAGGCCTTCTCCGTTTGGTTCCCGAGGCCCTATTAAAGGGAAAACAACAATAGATTCACTGTCTACCCCAAAGCTTGTCGTAAAAGTCGACTAATTGGGAGCTTCCTTCGAAGTCAGATTGCATCTGCCTGAGAGGCAAGGAACCAGCAGTCTGCATACAAATAAGTCAGATCGGTAAAACGGATGCACACGCAACATTTGGTAAAACGGATGCACACGCAACACTCGGGTTCTGGAACACGACTGCAGTCCAGAAGTGGATGAACAACCAGAACTTTCCACCAGAGTTTACAGCTGGTGAATGCTAAGAAGAAGAAGATGATGATGATGATGATGATGATGATGCTGATGATGACGATGATGATGACGTAGGCGAAGAAGATAAAGAAGAAGAAGAAGAAGAAGAAGAAGAAGAAGAAGAAGAAGAAGAAGAAGAAGAAGAAGAAGAAGAAGAAGAAGAAGAAGAAGAAGAAGAAGAAGAAGAAGAAGAAGAAGAAGATTAGGCCTGTCTTTCTGTATCAGTCCCGGTAAGGTTATGACGTAACCTAAAGTCCTGACCGAGCAGAAATATTTATCTGGTTGGAATTAAAGAATGTCAAATTATCTGAATTTTTATGAAAAACTGACTAGTTGACTGGTTTTTCCATTCCGACTTGCTGAAAGTTTATATCCCAGTTCATATCCGGCTGAGTTCCATGGGGGAGGGAGTATGAAGGAGATGGGAGAAGAAGAAAAGAGCTACTGTCCCCCTAACAAATGTGTCGTAAAAGGCGGTTTAGGGAAGTTTCCTTTGAAATCAGAGTGCATCTGCATGAGAAGCAAGTAACCAACAGTTTGCATACTGATACACCAAACCTGTAAAACTGATGTCCCTGCGAAACTTAAGTTTTGGAACAAGACCATAGTTCAAAAATGGACTACCAACCAAAACCTTCTAAACAGTTATAAAAGTTACGCTAAGTACTATTCTTGTTTACTCAACTGTCTTACACGTATACGCGTGATTTATTTAAGGGTGGGTGGGGTGTTAGAAGAATAGCGAAGAAAAAATATCTTTTTGATGCCCAAAGGGAATCTAGAAAAACTATTTATTATTTATCTCATAGTGTACGGCGGGGGGGGGGGGGGGGGGGGGGGGGGGGGCATATTCCTTTCAAATAAATGTCACAGAATCTGGAAGTCAGGCTCGTCTAATGCTGGGGTAGCAAATAGTAAAGTAAAAAGTAAAGGACCCTTTTCCAAGCCTTTCGATGTATTGGGCATATAGGGCTAGACCTATATTTTATAGACCAATCGGCACGTTTTAGGTGATGTGGTCAGCATCACACCGGCCGCCTTCCCTTCCCAATACTTTACCTGGTTACCATTTAAGACTTGGTCTACCTGGGAGTCAAGGTCGTGTTTGAAAAAATTCCGCCCTCCCACCAGGACCCAAACCCACGACCTTCCGATCCGCAGGCAAATGTCTAGCCGCTACACCACGGCCACTCCCGGGGGGAAGCAACTACCACTGCATAAAGATGAAGAATGAAGCAATGACAAAAATGGTAAAGTATGAAACTGAGGTATTTTAAATTTGGATCCATATAAGACAAGAGTCTGTTTCCTGACCGAAAAGTAAACAAATTGAGAAGTTCTCGAACAATAAAATATATGTAAAGGCTTCAATGAATGGAATGTAAAGGATAAAGAAATACTACTTAGATCACATCAAGCGATCTATCATCCTTTTTCACAGCAGAGCACGCAAGAAGATAATTTGCATTATAACATCAAGCGATCTATCATCCTTTTTCACAGCAGAGCACGCAAGAAGATGATCTGCATTAAATTGTGATCACGATAATTATTTCTGAATATTTCAGAGCCGTCATAGATCTGTCACAGCTTGAGAAAGAAAAGACACATGTCATTGAGCAGAAGTTGCAAGATGGCGCCGGTACTATTAAACTGTTGCTCACCATCACGGGAACCGTGGGCAGCGAAATTCCCTCAGATCTGACCAACTACACGCCCAGTGCATTAGATAAAGACAGTATCGTCAATAGATATGTATGTATACAAACATTCCATAATTTTTTTTTTTATTTATTAATCACTTTAATTATTCATATCTATCTCCATGCTTCAGTTTCCTTTCATTGATCACTCAAGGAGAATCTCACCTCTGTTCACGAGCTTCACAGACCACAGCAGATTTGAATATACATGTATATTTTTCTAAATGCCAGTGACCCTGTTTTCAATGTATAGACCATTTGGTACTCTTCTTCTTCTTCTTCTTCTTCTTCTTCTTCTTCTTCTTCTTCTTCTTCTTCTTCTTCTTCTTCTTCTTCTTCTTCTTCTTCTTCATCATCATCATCATCATCACCATCATCATCACCATCATCTTCTTCATCTTCATCATCATCATCATCATCTTCTTCTTCTTCTTCTTCTTCTTCTTCTTCTTCTTCTTCTTCTTCTTCTTCTTCTTCTTCTTCTTCTTCTTCTTCTTCTTCTTCTTCTTCATCATCATCATCATCATCATCATCATAATCTTCTTCTTCTTCTTCTTCACCTTCACTGGCTGTTAACTCCGGCAAAAAAGCTATGGTTGTTTGCTAGCTTCTGGACTTTTGTCTTGTTCTAGGAGAACAAGCTTTGCATGCACAGATTTGGCTTATTGGTGTGCAGAATGTTAGTTTCTTGCCTCTTAGGCAGATGCACTCTGACTTTAAAGGATACGCTCCTAATTAGCAGACCTCTACAGCATGGTATGGGGTGGGAGGGGGGGGGCAATGGGTTTATTCTCCCCTCTCCCCAAATGGGGCCCTGGGACCCACTCAGGGTAACTGGCTCTCAATGTGTGAGAACTCAGATTTATACCCTATGCCTTCATGTCCCAGGAAATTATTGTGTCCCCTGCCTGTGTGGGTTCCAGGACTGGGTTCCAGGATTCTGCTGGAGAAAAACAAAAGTATATAAACCCACAGTTTCCTGACATGCATGTTGTAAGAGGTGACCTATTGGGAATGACGTTAAATTAAAAGTGTTAATCTGAACATACTCGTGGGTAACATACTCATGGGTAACATACTCATGGGTAACATACTCATGGGTAACATACTCATGGGTAACATACTCATGGGTAATATACTCATGGGTAACATACTCATGGGTAACATACTCATGGGTAATATACTCATGGGTAACATACACACGGGTAACATACTCATGGGTAACATACTCATGGGTAACATACTCACGGGTAACACACTCATGGGTAACATACTCATGGGTAACATACTCATGGGTAACACACTCATGGGTAACATACTCATGGGTAACATACTCGTGGGTAACATACTCATGGGTAACATACTCATGGGTAACATACTCATTAGTAACATACTCATGGGTAACATACTAATGGGTAACATACTCATGGGTAACATACTAATGGGTAACATACTCATGGATAACATACTCATGGGTAACATACTCGTGGGTAACATATTCATGGGTAACATACTCGTGGGTAACATACTCATGGGTAACATACTCATGGGTAACATACTCATGGGTAACATACTCATGAATAACATACTCATGGGTAACATACTCATGGGTAATAAACTCATGGGTAACATACTCGTGGGTAACATACTCATGGGTAACATACTCATGGGTAATATACTCATGGGTAACATACACACGGGTAACATACTCATGGGTAACATACTCATGGGTAAACATACTCATGGGTATTATACTCATGGGTAACATACTCGTGGGTAACATACCCACGGGTAACATACTCACGGGTAACATACTCATGGGTAACATACTCAAGGGTAACATACTCGTGGGTAACATACTCGTGGGTAACATACTCATGGGTAACATACTCATGGGTAACATACTCGTGGGTAATATACTCGTGGGTAACATACTCATGGGTAACATACTCATGGGTAATATACTCATGGATAACATACTCATGGGTAGCATACTCATGGGTAACATACTCATGGGTAACATACTCATTGGTAACATATAGGTAACATACTCATGGGCAATATATACTCATGGGTTACATTCTGTCAGTAAAATCATATAAAATGTGCCTTGGTAATAATAATCAGTATCTTTTTGTGTGTCCTTTTTGTTGTCATCGTCATCATCCTAGCGTGTTCTGCCTACTGGCGTAGGCATTCATGCATCTCCACAGATCTCGGTCCCTTGTTTTCTGGATCAGTTCCACCGATGATATCCCTCTGTGCACCATTGTAGTTCATCTGTCATCATCTCTCTCAGTCTGCCTCACCCTCTTCTACCGTTGATCTTCCTAGTTGTCAGAATATTCTCCAAAGCCTTCCCCCTTCATCACAGGACCAAAGAACAGTTTTTGTGTCCTAAATTATGTTTATTGTCCCAGTATTTGATTTTTATTGGCACATCATATGTTAACTTTTCTATCAATATTTCCTTCACAAGTAATAATACACCTTAACTCTTTGAGTCCCATGGAACGCATCATACGTTCATAGGTGCCTACCTAGAAGCCCAATGAACGCATGATGCGCCGATGTTATTACTTTCTTTACTACCCCATGGGCCTGTGATGCTAAACACCCTGGGACTCAAAGAGTTTAGGAATAAAAGTGATGCTTATTTATGATTAAGTTTTCATATTCTGCAAATTCTATTAACTTAATATTTACTTTACTGTTTTTGTGCTTACAGTCATTATTCAACTATTTTTGTTTTATTTTTGTAGGGACTTTTGAATTCATTTACTTCTCTAAATGACGTTGGATATCTGGAAGTAAAAGGTAAAAACAAACGTGCTAGTTGTTAGCAGTTTTTCAAGCAAAGAAACAGTTTTTAAAAGCAAAATGTCAGTATTTGCACTAACAGTTTAATTTCCTATTGGATATTTCCACTGTTGATTGTGACATTGGAGTTGTTAATAGTTTGGTCAGTTTGATTTCTTTGCCAGAACACTCGTACAGAATTTGACATTAAGGTGGATACAGAAAGAAATATTTGAGAGGAGCATTGCGACATGTGTAACCACCAGTGTGTTGTTTGAACGGTCAGCATCTACACGTTAAGACATATGCTGCAGAAGATAAAGCATCCACATGGCGGGGCTATTTAACTGGGAGGTCCTAGGGCTAATTCTGGCCTGCTTGAGCAAGTAGCCCTTGGATAATTGCCAGTTTTACTAATGATCTTTCCATGCTGGGCTCAGGCCTCTGTCTTATGACAATCCCAGTTTTCAAAATGTTGGCCCCTGAGTCAACTTAGCTGAATGCTGAATAGTCTTGATCAATGAATATGCCATGATGTATTTTCTTAAATCAGTAATCAGTCATTTTCTGCTGCACTCATTGTTTTTTAAAGATCACTTAACAATATTCAGTTCTGCCAGAGAGCTGAAATTATAAATAGACATGATTGCCTGCACCACATAGCAAGTACTAGATGATTGTGAAGAGCATAATGGTACTAATGATGAATGAATAAATGAATTAATGAATGAAGAATGTATATCTCTGTACTTGGGACATTCCCACACGTGCTCTGTTCCCTTCTGCAGTAACCAATGAAGAGTTGACCTGCAAATGCTACCAGCTGCAAACTGATTAAAAATCCGTCTCTGTTTCCTCTTAAGTGCTGAATATCTATCAGAACCTCTACTCCCCTCCCCCCTTTTTTACACCTGTTGAATTAGTCTTTCAGTGTATGAATTCCCTATCTGTTCTTTTACATTGTCTATTTGATCCCATTCTATAGAGCTTTCACCAAATTTATCAAATAGCAGCTCACCACCCAGAGGAGCTGCAGCAGTTAATCTGTCAGCCTGCTCTTTACCTCGCACACCTGAATATCCTGGACAGAAAACCTGATATGCTCTTGATCTGGGCATTATTATATGCTACTCTGATCGCAGGACATCGGTTTCAGTTTTCTAAAGCATGCTGTGTGAGTCTGTTACAATCACAATATGTGTTGTTCTCAAACCATCAGAAAGCTGCTATTACTGCCTCGACCTCCATTCTCATACTGGATGTAGTGACGTTTTACACAAGACTATCTGTTTTCAAGCAGTGTCCATTCATCTTTGCAATAGCCCCCCCCCCCCCTCCTTTTTTTTTTCCCCACAGACCCATCTGTATATATAATGATGTCACCTCGGCATAAATTTACATTGATCAATTCTTGCACCGCTGACTCTGTTTCACCAGCTATCCAATCCCGGAACCCTTGGTCCAAGGTATCTATCACTCTGTCCACGTCTCCGCAAGTCTGGGCGGCATTTTAAGATATTCTTCACCATGCGCTATCTTGTCAATAGCACAAACTGTTCAGATCGTGACTTCTGCCTATGCCATCCAAGAGCCACTTCTTTTCAGCCACTGTCTCATGCTATCCCATAAGACCTCATGCAGAAGGTGTTCCTTGTACATTGCAACTTTAAGGTACATTTTCCCTTGTAAACATATGTGGGCTAGCGGGAAGAGAAACAAGAGAAACAAGTATTAGGGACCTGGGAAAAGAAATGTGGGTAGGACAATAAGTTGTTCCCTGCTGAACTGCAAAAACAGGAAAAATAGACACAAGACAAGGGTTCTTCTGTGCAGGGACCATGAAATATTGCTCATAGCCTAAGCAATGAATATGTGAATAGCTAAGTTAAACAACATTAGCATGTGACCACACAGGCAGTGCTTAGTCCAACCATGTGCACAAAATACAAATTCTATCCTTAATCAGACAAAGAAATATTACCATCACATTCAACATCTGTTTATTTTGCTGAATACACAACTAAAAAGTTGTGTATTCAGCAAAATAAACAGATGTTGAATTTGATGGGAATATTTCTTTATCTGATTACACAACTAATTACACAACTACACAGCTGAATACACAACTAATGTGCTTCACATATTACTATGCATTAACGATCAATAATATGTTTGAACAGACCATGTGCCACTCACTCCAAATGACAGGGAATGGGATAATGAATGCATACGTTCAGAGTAGGGCTGTACCGAATAGTGATTATTACTATTCGGCCGAATACGAATAGCTGGACCAACTATTCGGCCGAATACGAATACGAATACAAATAGTGAATCATCATCATCAGGTGTTTTGCCGACTGGCAAGGGCGATTATGCCTCGCTACAATCTACGATCTTCTGCAGCATGTATTAGTTCGTGTGCTGACACACCTCCATTCCATGCAACAAGACTGTCAAGAATCTTTTCTCGTTGTCTTCCTCTATCCCTCCTTTCACAGATCTTTCCAGTGGTCACCACATGTTCCATTTTCCCTCTTTTCATAACATGGCCGAAAACTTATAACTGTGTCCTTTTGCTGTCTGTAAGTAGTTGCCTTCGTTCTCCCGCCTCTTTCAAAACCTCTTGGTTGCTCTTTTTGGCTGTACAAGGTATTCTAAGCATTCTTCTGTAAAACCACATCTCTAAGGCCTCAAACAATCATTAGGCCTGCCTACCGATTGTCTAGGACTCACAACCATATGTCCCCCCGTGTGGGTTCCGGGGCCCCATTGTGGAGAAAACAAGAATAGACCCACTGCCTCCCCAAAAGCATGTCGTAAGAGTCGACTAATTGGGGAGCTTCCTTTGAAGTCAGAGTGCATCTGCCGGAGAGGCAAGGAACCAACAGTCTGTATTCAGGAGAATGAGATCTGTAAAACTGATGCACACGCAACACTCAGTTTCTGGAGCAGGACTGCAGTTCAGTAGTGGACGAGCAACCAGAACTTTCTGCCAGAGTGTACAGCTGGTGAACGTGAAGAAGAAGAAGACAACCATATGTTAAAACTGGATGTATGTAGCAAGCAAGAATTCTTTTTCTAACTTTCAATGACAAAGATATATTGCATAAGATGTTCTTCATTTTTTAAAATGCAGTTTTTGCCTGTCCTATTCTGTTTCTTATTTCAGTAATGCATCTTGCATCTGATGTTATATATGTGCCCAGATACCTAAATTTCCGTACTTGTCCTAAAATAAAACCTTTGACTTTTATTACACATCTAGGAATAATTATTTTCTTTGATACCACCAATACTTCTGTCTTCCCACTATTCAAACTGAGGCCCATTCTTCCACTTTCGAATAGTGCATAAAATAGATCTAAAAAAAATATCCATAATGTCAAATCTACGCTGAAATTTTACTTCACAAAATGTAGTACAGAATAGTAAAAACATTTAAAAACATTTCATGTTTTACATCCTTCAGTCAGTCTGTCTTTGGTAACTAATAAATAGGAATGAAAGTATTCTTAGTTTTGTGGCACAGTCGTGCCTATACATCCCCCAAGAAATAGATGTGCCTAAGTCGGCCAAGTGAATGAATATAGTTCGTATCTCTCTTCAATCGTACTCAAGAACAAGGCCAGTGATGTAACAATTACACAAGAGCTGTTTATTTACAATATTCCAGTCATAGAGGCTTCATAAATTCAATAGTATATGAACACTGTATTATCTGGATACAGGCTATTCGTA